ATCATCTCCTCAAGTCCAAATGAAAATTATTACGATTAAGCAACTACTGTAACAATTATGAGATAAGGTTTCATTTTGTGTTTCTCTAAACACAATAAAAAGTATATCGAAACAATAAAGTCCATTGAAAAATAATACAGATACGGTAGCATTTTGAACGGAACGTTATATTTTATCCGCTTCCAAAAGGGTACTTAAAAGCAGCGTCATGGGATTTCGTGAAAAAGCTTGTCTTTTGAGAAGTCTGTAAGTAACCTTCTCACAAAAACAAAAAAAAAAACAAAAAAAATCAATAAAGCCTTAATCGGGGATTTTTGAAAAAATAATTTTGTTGCGTTGGAGAGCCCTTATACTGAAATGGACCACTGCATCTTCGTTTCATAAAAGATGAAAGCAAGTGACTATCACTACAGAACTTCTTGAGCAAACGACTAGTTACATATGTACTTAAACCATCACGTGATAGTAAAACAATGCCTCACAACGTTATTAAGCACTGACATTAGCAAAACAAATGACGAAGTACGCATCTAAAATAAGCATTTATGTCTTAACCGTACAGTTATCACTCATTCAGACTACAAGTGCACATGCGTTTTCTAACAAATACAAAATTGTCTATAATTCAAACTGAAACGCACGTTTTTAGTATACGAACTCACTTTGAGCAAAAAAAAAAAAAAAAAAAAAATAGGCCGCACAACAAACAAAAAAAAATCAAACTGCCCGGCAAGAAAAAAAGTTTTTCTTTAGCGCTAAAAAAAAAATATATACTGCATCCGGGTATGTTGGTAAATGATGGATCCAGGAATAATCCAGGTTCAATACTAAAGTACGAGTGGTGTCTTAGAGAAGCATTAGAACCATCGACAATTGTGAGCTTGACAAAAACTGATAAGGATTTCTATGTCTGTATGTTTACCTTCGCTTGGATTGGGAGTATAAACACAGTACATACTAATATACAAGGACACTGTAAAGACTTGCAATTAATAATATACAACAGAAGAAATAAGGAGTTGCCACTAGTATCGCCTCTGAAATCTGCAGAGAGTAGTTATTACTCTCACAAATAATTCGATATAATCAACAGTTACTTCTAATACAAATTAAGATTCAATCAACAATGAGAATTAAGATATATTTATAACTAAGATAAAGATAGGATTCAGTTTTTTCAAAAGAAAATACATCAGCTTTTTATAGCTGTCAAAAATATAGACAACACCGACAGAAACCAAGGTAGACACAACACAAGAATTATTACTCATACTATTAACCCAGAACTATTTACCGCACTCAAAGACCTATCAGTTTACCAACAAATCCGAAAGCTTGCACGTAGATATCATGCGTTGAAAAGATTGACGAAAAGCGGACATACAAGCAAAAATACACACGTATCAAAAACTGATAAGTTCCTGCGTGTCTTTATGTTTACCTTTGTAAAAATATAGTTACGAGAGAGTAAACAAATGTGTAGATGAGTACTAAAAGGAGATTATAAAGACTTAAAGATTTAGGGTGTTCTCAAGCAAAAAAAATTTGTGAACCCCTCTTTTTGTAAAATCTTGGAACCCCCTCCATAAGGCAATTATAACCTTATATTTTCATACTCCTCAGCCAAAAAACGTCGAAAATTCTTGCTAACCATTTTAAAAGATAAACCACCATCAGGGGGTGGTTTAATTACGAAAATGGATTTACGAACCCCTCTGATGTAATGCTTTCATCATTCAAAAAATACTAAAATGCCCCCACTAGTTGACAGTATGATCATAATAATTTTTACTTTGTTGTTTTCTTTTCTTTATTTTTTGATATTCAAAACTAGCAAATAATATTAACTTTACCTTTATAAACAATGTTCGGTACCATCAACTTCAACGCCCCTTCCAGTTCAACTGCTTCCACCTCCAGTGCTCCTATTGAGGACGACAGAACAAGAGGTCCAAATTGGAGTGTAGCAGAAGAATGCTTGTTAATTCAAATTTATAATAAACATTTGAGTTCTCTTGAAAAAACCAAAAGTGATCACGAAAAAGGGGAGAAATACACGGAGATGTCGATTGAACATAATCAACTGGCTCGCCTTCAGAATTTGAGAAGTCGACCATCAGAGGAGCAAAAAAGAAAATGGAAGCGTATGGTGAAAGATTTCAAGGAAGAGTTTGCTAGACGCCAATCAACGGGTGAATCAGGTTTCGAACCTGATGTTGTCTATGATAAGCTGGAAGAGATCTTGACGAAATTTCCCACCATCTTGCCACCACACACGTACTCATCCCATTCCAGACAGTTCGTTGACAATACTAATGGTGGAAATCAAGGATCATCTACAGCTCCAGCTGAATCTTCGTCTGTACCTATTGCAGAACATGAACGTCCTGCTCCTCCTCAGGAATCGCAACCACCTTCTTCTCGCAGAAGAGTGGAAACACCCCCTCCCGATCACGTCTCCAGTACTCCTCCTCCTCCTGTCAATCCTTCTACGACCTCACCACCCAATCCTTCTCCCGCCCCTCAACCTACCAATCCTTCTTCTGCGCCACCTCGTCGTCCAAGATCAAACGTAGGCTCTACACCATCTACCACGACCTCTGACACTGAAGCTATGCTTAATCGCATTGTTGATAGAGAGCACGAGCTTCGTAATGGAACATTTCGAGAGTTCAGAGAGTATATGGATTCACGATTAGGAAGAAGAGATCCTACGGGAGAAGCAATCATTGCTTCTTTAAACCGAGCTACAGCTGCTTTGGAACGAAACGGTGATAGATTAAACGAGTTGCATAATCGTATGCATCAACAAAGACCCAATCAATAAAGATATTCTTTTTTTTAATACATATGTTAAATTACATTTGGTACCTCTTTATTGTCTAGGTTGAAACCATCGGTTCAACTCATCTCTTCTTGTACGAACAGACTCTCGAGCTGTTTCGCCATTCCCCTCTTCATCTTCATCCATCTCGATTCCCTCGTCAATTTCAAAATCTGGATCCCCAATGTTGATACAGAAATTGTGTAAGATACAAGCCGCCGTAATGACTTGGCATATATCTTTAATCTTCTTCATGTAGACGTGTTTTTTTATGAACCTCCATCTAGCTGAGAGTATTCCAAAAGCCCTTTCGATGGTCATTCTTGCTGAAGAGTGGACCTTGTTGAATTTGCGTTTGGCAACGGCCTCGTCAGAATTGCCTGATACTTCACTCAAAGGATATGGAACGATTACATTACGACAGAGAGCATATGCAGAATCTAAAGAGGGTGTGTAAGTAAATTATATGTTAACTTTATAGTCAGTATATAAATAACCTGCCAGAATGTAACCGTCCAAAGGGAAAAATGTTGCTGGCTGTCGTAAAAACTGGGTGTACACTTCAGTCCACTTGAAAGCACCTGCATCGTGGGTGCGACCTATAAATACATATCAGTAAGGCAATCAACATGTTATGAATATTTCGCTATTACCAGAGTCACCGACACGGATATACGTGAAACGGCATTTGTTGTCACAGATTGCTGTCAGTTTCATCGCAAAGTTACCCTTTCGATCACGCCAATGTTCTGGGTGATCTCTAGGACACTCAATTACAACATTTTTACCATCGAGTGCTCCTATTGCTTTGGGCAAACGACGGATAGCCCCTTCTTCTTGACCATGAGGCCATTCAAAACCCGTTTGAATTTCCTCAACCCTTTGCTGATCCATGGGCCAGTTGATCAGATCTCCGTATACCCCTTCGATTGCAACCAAAAATCTTCGGAAAAAGTTGATATAACTACCATGCGATACACCAAAAGCCATGTTACTAGTTCTGTAACCAATATGACAGTTGGCTAAGCGCCATATAGCACATGAAATCTGGATGTATGCGGGGATGCTGTTGTGGGCTAGCAGATCAAATGCTGGATGCTGACTGAGGTCGTTGACAAGTCTTTCGAAGCTGCTAAGATTCATGCGATACATTGCTCGAAAACTAGTGCGTGGATTGTCATCGTCAGCGAGAAAAGGGTGCGTGATTGTCCAGTAGTGATAGTTGGAAAACGTTCCATTGTTGTTTGGACGAACTCGAGTTGAACGTGTGCCAGTTAATAGGAAGGGTAAGGCATGAAAAAAGGAAGGTACATCAAAAACTGAAGAAAAATAAAAAAGAAAAGTTTCGTGAAGCAAATTGATCTCCAACTGACGTTGTTCCATATACCACTGAATTGCGGCTACATTCATGTTAATGAGCGTCATTGATTCTTCGTAAACAGTTGTAAACTCATTGAGTGATTCTTCGAAAGTAGACATTTTGGCAAAGATAATAATAAATTTATGGGAAAAAAATAATAAAAAGAAAAAAAGTTACAGGAGGATAGTAATCTGACAAAAATCTGCCCTGATGTCATACACTATACCTAATTTGGGGGGGTTCCAAGATTTTACAAAAAGAGGGGTTCACAAATTTTTTTTGCTTGAGAACACCCTTATAATAAGACTGCTCCTATTTACAATTGTATACCATGCTTAGGAATTGGGAAAAGATGTCTCAACTTTTTTTTTTTCTAATTCCTGAATCTACATGACAATGTGAATTAGAACCATAATTCCAAGCTTCGCCTGGTTTTAAAAAACAGTACTATGCTTACCCAAACGTCCAACATTATATGACAAACCACCCGCCGGGGGTTTTTTACAAAAGTCATTAGTATTTGCGTTCATCCGTATCAGCGCTAATAAGTAGTCCAAATAAGCATAATTAGTACAACGTATTGCCTTAAAAATTCAGTTTGCTTTACCTCTTGTTATGAGCTGTATCATATGGACTGATTCTTTGAAACGATACACTAATACAATTGATAACGTGATAAAATTTGTTTTTTGCTTCAAACCCGTTTAAACAAGTTGTTGAATTTGTTTTGGAACCGTTTTATTGCCTTGTTCAGCGGGATGATACAGTGACTAACGGAGTTCATACAAATCAGCTTCAAATAATACAGGTTATTTTTTATTTGTGGTTGGTAGCTGATTGTATAAAAGCACCGTTACTGGAAAACATATCCTCATTATAACTAGAGGCTTGATGAGTTTGTATTTTTCCGTACCACTGGTAACAAATTTTGTTGAACCGTATTGGATGTTTCGTATAGCGGGATCGCCAGTTACTATTGAATTGAGTAAATCATATCGTTTTTGTATTTCATTAGTAGTTTACCTTTGCTTTGTAACTTGTGGCATCAGAAATGACTATATGAAGACAGACCATGATTCAAACTGGATGATAAATTATATTTGTCATCTTCAATAATATCACCGCTACAAAATAGGATTTTTTTCTCTTTTTGGACCGTGTTTGTATATGGGTCAAATAAAGAATCCAGTTTCTATTTAAACTGTAGGAAATATTAATTAAAATTCTATCTCTGTTGGTACTGATTTCACCTTAAGTTTATATCTGGGTTGTGTGAAGAATGTGTTGCATAAAGCGTATAATTGTTATAATTATGCAGCAAATCAGAATTGCATTCTGCCATAATATTGGCCGCTGAAGAGATGTATTGAGTTTGTTTCTTCAAACTTGTTTTTTCTCTGGATCAGCGGTGGAGCTAAAGAGGTTTAAGAAAGTAAATATACCAACGTCATAAGATAGTATGTTTCGCTTTACCTTCCATATGTAGCTTGATATTTGCATTGTCTTTAATAAAGTAGAGATTGTTTTTGTATTTCCCTAATTTAATGCTGCTTGATCCAGTTTAAGATTATCTACAGCTACAGATAATTCTTCTTCGTTGGTGTTATTAGTTTCAAGACTCATTAGAGACTCTTATTGATATCTTCGCTACAATTGAGTCCGATGTTTTTAAATATAACATGCCCATCTTTAACGCATCAGTTATTTTTTAGAGAGCGACTGAAAAATTAAAGATGGCCTAAAAAAATTAGTCAGCATAAGAATGGTCCCCGAATTACATTGATACGTACCATGTTATAAATAAGGTTACTTTCTCATCTGGTTTATATTCATTTTGTTAATTTCTTAACGTTCCCTAGTAAAAGCTGATTTTGAGACTTTTACCAAACCACAATGTGCTTGTAAGATTGACACAATGTAAGTTCATACATTTCCGCTAGTAGAAGCAAAAGACGATACTTCTACTAAACAACATCGTACTTGTGTAATATTGTACGATGACTGCTTTAAAACTCCCATTGGTTTGAATACTACGGTTTTCAATATGTAGTTATCAAATTTCTAAATTACAAAAAAGTTTAACCTTCAAACGTTTTATAAAGATGCCATAATTATACTTACGTTTGTATTGGTATAAATTGAAGCGTTTCTCTTCATCGTTGATCTTTTTTGCTTCAACTTCAAAGATATTTAAGTGTCCATTTAGATACCTTGATTTGGATTATACCATGTTTGCTAGGTGAGTGTTCGCAGCAAGTAGCCGTGAATAACATCCAAGCCTATAGAGTAGTCGCTTATGTTGATGTTAAATGTTGACATGCTTGATGTTATTACTTGCTGTTGCACCGCTGATATCCATTGGCCCGTAATTTTGTTAAATCTTCAGAATTTAGTTGTGTTTGCGTAAAGTTGCATTGCTCCGGCTTGGGCCATATTGATAATTTGTAGTTAGCAAACATGGATGCTTATTTTAAAGATTTCCATCCTTTCGATTTTGGTTTTCGTTTAGATGTTGTCGTTGTGTATTTTGTTGTTATATCATTTGTTGTTGTATGGTTGTTTGTTATTTAAATTTGATTATTAGATCTTTGGTTGTTTGATGTTTGTTGATTTTTTGTTGTTATTAGTGCTGTCTTTCACAATAGTTTCTAGGATTAGATTTTTCTTTTAAAGTTGTAAGCTATTGCGACTGAATTGTAGCACCTTTCGTATAAGCGTTGATTGTATATGTCTTATAGCGCAGCATATAGGATCTTGATCAGTTGTCATACACTGCAAATTTTGCTTGCACGTAAAAAATAAAAGCAAGTATTTATCATGTTATTCTTGATAATTGCTGGATGTCGCTAAGATGTTATTTGAATGAGGATGAATAGCGTCATCCATATTTACTTTTTCAAATGCTTGAGAAAATAAAAAATACACCAAAGACGACTACCACCGGCAGCAGAAGACTCCACCAAATCTTCCCAATTGTTTTCCACCCGTTGAATCAATTTCACTCAATTTCCTTCGCCTGATTCCTTCTTCTCTACCTCATTATTGGCTTCAGTGGTTTGATTAAACCAGACAAACTCTCACCACCAAAGGAGAAACAAAAGAAAGCCGAAACTTCTTTTCAAGGTACGCCTGCCATCACAGAAAAACCTTCTTCTTCGTCTCCATCACCAGAGACCGAACCAGAAACAGAGGGAGAACCAGAGAAAAAACTGTAAGGGATGAAGCCATCAGAAGTATCGTTAGATACTTCTGCAGGAACTGACTCCACATCTGAATTCACAGCGTATTCAGTAACAGATGAACAATCATCGCTAGCATCAGAGGGAGCTTCTGTGCTAAGATCGTTGAAGTCCACTGCATCTTGCTCAACGAACTGATCGGGAACATGATCATCGTTAACTGCCTCGGGAACTGAGACAGGAGCAACACAAAACCCATTATCAACAGCATCTTCGGCCTCTACGGGTTCAGTCAAACCTTCCACTACTTCCAAAGACTCCTCAAAAGAGTCAATATCCATAGGTTCAGGGATAACATCATCCATTTCAGCAGCTGTTGGGTACAAAAATACGACGTCAACATCCATAGTCTCTGTAGCTTGAGAACAAGCTAACAAAGCAGCACGAAGACGAAGTTTACCATAATGATGGCGTCGTGAAGGACGAGGTCTATGTACACCAAGTCGAGCACGAAGACGATGATGGCGCATGCCAGCTGTACTAGGACGACATACCGAGGTATGACGACCAGCCCTCTCGAGAGAGGTTGCACCTGCTGGATACAAGGTAGAGGCCGAAGCAACACCTACATCATCGCAATATGCGTTATCCCCAAAAGGGAAAGAAACCGCATAAGAAGCGTTATCCTCATAAGAGGAAGAAACCGCTTGGGCTGCGTTATCCCCATAAGGGAAAGAAACCGCAGAAGGTGTGTTATCCTCATAAGAGGAAGAAACCACACAAGAAGCGTTATCCTCATAAGAGGAAGAAACCGCTTGAGCTGCGTTATCCCCATAAGGGAAAGAAACCGCAGAAGGTGTGTTATCCTCATAAGAGGAAGAAACCACACGAGAAGCGTTATCCTCATAAGAGGAAGAAACCGCTTGAGCTGCGTTATCCCCATAAGGGAAAGAAACCGCAGAAGGTGCGTTATCCTCATAAGAGGAAGAAACCGCACAGCACACGTTATCCCTATAGAGGGAAGAAACCGCGTGGGGAGCCAAGTTGGTCTGTTTTCTTGGTCGGTTGACGACCGAAGACACTGGAGCAACGAAAACATTGTTTTCTTGCATCCAGGCACGAGTAATGGCCTCACAGGCATATGCCCAAGAAGGAACAGAACTACGTGAAACAGAACCATACTCAATGGGAGGTGAAGGCACATAGTCACGGCCAGCACAAGGACCACCGACAAGGCAAGCACACCAGAGAGCAAGGCAACGGAACTCCTTTTCTACGCGTGGTGGAAAAGCGAGATAATCTCGACTTGGTCCAACCTCACGGAGAGAACCGAACATTGTTTGTGGTTGTGTGGGAGCAATAGGCTCCAAAGAAACAACAGGAAAGTTGTTAATGGTGGTGGTGGTGGAAATGAGGGGAGGCACGAAGGCATTGGGGATTTCTCCCACAATGTCATTGTCAATGGGCAAACGTTGGCCTGTACCCCTAAGCCAGAAAAACGAGAAGAAGCTATCAAGCTTTTCCAACAGTAAAAACACAACCACTTTAACAATAAAGCAAAACATAGCACAAAGGAATCTATTTGTTTAATTGGTACATTAGAAATGTGCAAACATCTTTACTTGAAAATACTCTTTCGTACTTACACGTCTGTAGCAAAAGTAGGCTTAAAGAGGATAGTTTTGCAGAAAAAAAGGTAGAAAAAAACAATAGGATCAATTAGAATTCTTGTCAGAGTTTATTGATGTTAAAGTTAACTGAAGATTTAAGAAGAGGAAAAATAAAGAGTATTTATAATAAATGGAATGGACGAGGCTGAGGATACTACTCTTAACAATATGAGTATGCTATCAATAACAATATCTATATTGGACAATTAGTGCTACGCATAGTCAATAGAGAAATAATAACAATAACATGTCTTAAGTTTGGACATTGGTGTTACGATACCGTGACACTTTAAAATAGTGACCGGCTTTAGCGAATTCCTTTTTTATGCCTGATCATGATTTAGCTATCATTTATCAGTGATGATGAGATATGAATTTATTATATGTACAATCTATATGTGTGATTTAGCACATTTCCCTCTACTAGATTCAACGATAGTTGAATCGGTTAAATTTCCTAGCTAACTTTATGTGATCGACATTACGTGTATTAATTTCTACAACATAAGAAGTTTTATCACCGCTAACCCAGACACGAACAAATTGAGGCTTATTGAAATAATTTTTTTTTTTTTCTTTTACTTTTACTTTTACTTTCATTCTTACTTCATGCCTTATTTGTTCTTATTAAGCCGACTACTACTACGTCTCTTCTGTACAGGTTGACCATTACTATATGTGTTATTCGTTCTCTTTCTTTTGTTATAATTAGTAGCATTGTCACCAACATTACGCTGTGAAACAAGCCTTTGTGTTTTGGAATTCGAGTCTGATTTATTCACCAGCTCTGCTTTACGTATTTTTTCAAGTTTCTCTAGATCTCTTACTTTATCCCAATAAGCTTTGATAGACTGTGGTGACGAAAATGCTGATGTCTTTAACCATGAATTTTCACGTTCACCATACCCAACCCATTTTACCAGATATTCACGTTCGCCATTCGGATCTTGTCTGTGGTCTCGAATTTCTTGGACTTCGTATAATTCATCTTCAATATTTGTTTCGTCGATGGATACTACCTTGAGCTCAGATGGTACATAGTCTCTGTGTAGTAGCTCGTTCATTTCATCCTTAAGTACATACGTTCCCGCTTGCGTCTTTCGTACTACAGTAAATGGTCCCTCATATAGTGGAGAAAGTTTGGATGCTCGATTTGGCAATTTCACCATTACTGCAGTTCCTACGGCAATGTCTATCAGGTAGTGTTTTGTATTGAACTTTTTACTTTGTTCCTCAACTAATCTCATCGTTCTTTCGTGGATAGCAGGAAACACAACTGTTGCCATGATTTCGGCTTTGTTTATCAACTCTTCTTCAGATGTTAATTTACGTGGAACAGTTTTACTTATTTTCGGATCAGTGTAGTCCTGAGGTTTATTTAATTGGCGTGCGAACATCAATGAGAAGGGGCTGCTACCAGTACGATTACGGATCTTATAGTTACAACATAATTGTGCAGCGGGAAGAAGTTCATCCCATCTACTGGTGTCATTTCCACACAACTTTCTTACTGTGTTGACGATAATTTTGACTGCATTTTCAGCTGCACCATTGCCACGAGGATGATAGGGAGTGGAAAATCGATGGTCAATGCCAAGCGTTCTCGTTACTGTTGTCATCAAACCATTGAGGTAATCGCGTGCATTATCAGATTGACAGCGGACCGGTAGACCATAATCACCAAATACTTGGCATAGAGTTGAGGCTATCGTATCACTTTGTTTATTGGGAATAGGACGTGCTATGATGTATTTAGTGCAAAGATCCACGATCACAAATATATATATATTTTGGTTTTGTGTTACAGAAAATGGTCCGGCGAGATCCATTGCTATGTGTGTAAATGGATCACTACTAACAATTGGTCTTAATGGATGATATCCTTTCTTGGCTATATTGTGTCGGGCACAATCTATGCAACTACGAACTATCTCCTTACTTTCATCATATATACCATGCCAATGCATGCCGTCTTCATGTATCCTTTGGACGATACTTTCTGATCCAAAGTGACCCATCAAATGAGCTTCTCTTAAAAGCTTGTCTCTTTCCTCATATGGGGGAGCTATATAATCAGTAGTGGATTCTTTGAAGGTGTTACTATTTAGTCTAACAGCAAGTATGTTCAAATCCTTATCTGTGCTATATACTTTTCTTTTATGAATAAACCTTTCACTCATATTATTGACTACTTTGTTAATTTTATCATTTGGTAAACGTCTTTGTAATATACAACGTTCTAATTTCATAATTTTCTTTTCTTCATCCCCCAGCAGAGTTTTATCCTCGGGTATAGGGGGATAAACTCGACTTAAGGTATCAGGTAATATATTATTTATTCCCTTTAAATGAACCACAGTGAAATTAAAATCGTTCAGTACCTCCATATAATTTTGAAGTGTTCTGCAAAGCGTTGTAGAGGTTTGCATATAAACCAAACTACGATGATCAGTACGTACTTCTATTTCAGGATGACCCCATAAGAGGGCTCGGAATTTTTCGAAGCCATAGACCACACCATATGTTTCTTTTCGATTCGTAGACCACTGTAACTGGTGCTTATCAAATGCTTTGCTAACAAATGCAATGTGTAATGTCCGTCCATGTTCG